TCCACCTCATGACGTGGTCTTGCACGGGCTGGTCGTACACGCCGTCGCACCTGGGAAGAAATTTTGGCATCCATTCATTCGTTTAGGCGGTGGGTGCCCCCGTCCCTTCTGAGTTGAAACCTACTAATATGATACCCGACGGGTACACGTGTGCCATGGAATACCACGGGAATACCGTGGGCATTCCGCCTGACGATGCGCCCTCAAGGCGACTACGTGTGTCATCGGGCGGCCGCTTCTTGCGCCCAACCCACCTGCAGCCACCGCTTGTTCGAAAGGGTGCGAACGCCTGCGAGGGGGACGATTGCCGAACGTCTCTCTCTCTCGCGACAAACGAAGAAACAGCAACTGAGAGGCATGCCCCGCTGAATGACTTGCTGTAACATACTGCTGTTGTGGCGGACGCTGGCTGGTACACCCAGAGCGCTAACCCAAACGGGCTAAAAAAAGGCCTACAGAACAAATTGATGACGGAATAACAAAATCAGAAGGGTTGTGCTTTGAATTTTGATCGAACAAGCAAGAGGGCAAATCGTTGGTTGTTAAATGTTGATGGTGATGTTGATGTTGCTTTTTTCATTAATTGTTGATGGTGGCGGTGTTGTTGTTGTTGATTGTCTTTTGCTAGAAACCATGCTGACCTTTACCAAGCGCCTGTTTTATCCAAAAGGTATGGTGCTGTTGTAGTGGTTGCGGTTGTTGCCTTTGTATTAGAAGACGTTGTCACCTCTACCCAAAGCGCGGGCACACGCACCTCCTCCTGACGTAGGCCAGCACGTTGGAGAACATGACCCCGGAAAAGGCGTCCTGCAGAAGGGAGAACCAGCCCAGCCGCCTCAGCACGCCCCACAGCGCCGACAGCTCCTCTCGGCTCATGTCGGAAAAATCGTCCCCGTCGTCTTCCTCCCCAACGTCTGATTCTTCTTCTGCTTCCTCCTCCTCCTCTTCTTCTTCCTCCTCCTCTTCCTCCTCCTCCTTCTCCACCTTCACACATACACGCGAACATATGGACCGAGGTCACATGCCACCCACGTCAGTTCTCTCTGGTGGTACATACTCTCACAGAGGGCCAAGCTTGTCCTGGGAAATCCCCAAGGGGGATCTATTCACGTCTTTGCTGTGAGGGATTTGAGTAGTGGTAGCACTGGGGGACTAGACTTTGCATCGACGGGGCACGTAGGACATGGGTGAATGTACAAACCTTGTCCGAAGAACCCGCGACCTCGGTAGCGGCGCCATCAGTGCCCCCGCCTCCGGCTTCTCGGCCCGTCGACTCCTCTTCCCCCTCGCCTGTCCCAAAAAGCACACGATCGCATTCAGCAGCACTTCGACATTAGATAAAAACCCTACCTTCCATACATATGGGTCCGACACAAAAACAACGAAAATACTTCACCGCGCGAAACGCGAAACGCGAAAAAGAAGGGGCGGGGAGAGAGAGGCCAGCAGGTGTAGTGGAGTCTACGCCCTCATACAGAGGCCACCACTGCCACTGCAGACGCTCACACCTCGCCTGACACCACCAGTCAGACGTGTATGCATGACTTCTGCTGTGTAGCAGCGCGGGGACGCGTGAGAGCGTTTGTTTGGTGCGCACGAAGCTCTCGTCAATCAGCTGCTTGCTGCTGCTGCTGCTGCTGCTGCTGTGTGGATGTGTACTACTTGCTTCCCTCGCTTACGCTGCAAGCAGCTGGCAACGGGCTCTAAAAAACCACCCCCGACGCCCTTCTATGTGTGTAATTGGTCGCCCTTGGCCTACAGCAGTGTGTACGTCTCATGGTCTCTGTTTTGGGGTGAGTCTGTTGTGGATCAAAAGATCGGCCTGCCGCCAGACGAAGGCAGACCGCAAATTGACCTGTGTCGTCTCCTATGATATGTACCTTTGGCTGCCCTTAGCCTAACAGCAGTCTCGTGTGCTGATGTGCTGGTTGCTTCGTGTGTTGTCTACGCGCGTGTGTGTGCTGCTGCTGCTGTGCTGCGTCTGTCTTTCGGGGGATTCCCCCTCGGCGGCGTGACCATCAGCCCATCATCTGTCTCACTCTACCCAACAAACTGTCCTACAATATCGACATGTGATTGGTGGGAGGATGGGTATCTACCCGGTTCTACCCCGCTAAAACACATATTTGACTTATGATAGTTCTTCCGTTCCTACAAAAAAATGCCCTTCGTATCGGTCCGGTTCCGTTACAAAAACATTCAAGAGCATTCATGTGTCATGTGCTAAAAATAATGAAAATGATGAACGCTCATCCGAAAAATCTTGTGTCTCGGGTTCTCGCAGCTACGAGCGTTCCGCCAGGCATTGCGCAAGCATTCCATCAACAAGCATTCAACAGCAGAGCATTCGACGCACCATCACTACCGCGGTTCTCCTCCCCCGCACCAAGATCATCGTCAGATACGTCCATACCGTCCCCCCCCTCTACCCCCCCGCCGCCGCTGGATCTCCGCCGCTGCCGCCGCCGCTGCCGCCTCCGTCGCCGTTCCTCCAGCCAGCTGCGGTGCCAGAACCGGAGGTTCCGGTCGAAGAAGGCGCGCATGGTGCCGTGGAAGTCTCCCCGGGCGCCGGCCATGACCTGCGCGGTGAAGGCGCAGCGATACCTCGCCTGCACGGTGCGGTCGTCTGCGTTGTCGTCATCGGCGGCGTCCAGCAGGCGGACCAGAGACAGGTGGGAGTCCACCTCTCCGGCCACGTACAGCAGCGCGGTTTTCACGCGGCCGTAAGACTCTCGGCGAGTTGTCGTTGCTGCCGCGCTCTCAGCCCCCCGCCC